CGTCAAAGGCTCCACCGCACATGCATCTCTTGCGGGTCAACCCCGACCACCTTCCGGTGACCTAGAGCTGCCGTCCGGGCCCCTTCCTGGTGGCCAGATCCTGTGTCAGCTTGAGGGGGTCTACCAAGGGAATTGCCATGAAGGACTGCTAGGCTTTCCCCTGATTGGTAGGTCCTGCTGGTGCTGGGCACTACTGAATACGCCGTCACAACTTTTCCGCTTCCACGGGTGGTGTTCGCACGAGGGGGATGCCTGGGTGCCCCCCGCAGAGCCGACAACAGAGCCAAAGGGTTGGCGCGTCATATACAATTATTAGTTTCTCAGTTATTCTTGTATTTTGCCTCTTTAATAGGTCGATGACGGCTTCCCGCCCGCCGATCGTCCAAAAAAAATATGGGGTGAGGCCCCTATCCTGCAACAGGCAATAAATGTGGCCGGGAGTATGCGCTAAGGGCCAGTCAGGACCTGCTGGGTGCCCGAGCTACGGTGCTAACAAGCAAATGCGAACAAGCAAGCTCGAAAGGAGATCTTCGGTTGCACTCCCCATCTCAGCTGCAAACAAACCATGCTCCGAGGGAGAGCTGCCCCTGCATTTTGCAAGCCTAGCTGTAAATATACAAAGCTCCAAGGGGAAATGCCCCTGCATTTTGCAAACATAGCTGTACACATCCAATGCTCCCAGGGGAGCTGCCCCTGCATTTTGCAAACATAGCTGTAAACTTCCAAGGCTCCAAGGGGAGCTGCCCCTGCATTTTGCAAGCATAGCTATAAACATCCAAAGCTCAGGGGAGCTACCCCTGCGTTTTGCAAACCTAGCTGTAAACCAACAAAGCTCAAAGGGAAGCTGTCCCTGCATTTTGCACACATAGTTGTAAGCATCCAAGGCTCCAAGGGGGGCTGACCCTGCATTTGCAAACATAGCTGTAAACATCCAAAGCTCCCAGGGGAGCTGCCCCTGCATTTTGCGACCACACCTGTAAACATCCAACTTCAAAAGCTACCAGGGGAACTGCCCCTGCAGTTTGCAAGCATAGCTGTAAACATCCAAAGCTCCAAAGGGGAGCTACCCCTGCGTTTTGCAAACCTAGCAGTAAACCTACGAAGCTCAAAGGGGAGCTGCCCCTGCATTTTGCAAACATAGTTGTAAACGTAGAACTAGAAGGCTCCAAAGGGAGCTGCCCCTGTATTTGCAAATATAGCTGTAAACATCCAAAGTTCCAAGGGGAGCTGCCCCTGCATTTGGCAAACCTAGCTGTAAACCTACAACGCTCTGAGGGGAGCTACCCCTGCATTTTGCAAACCTGGCTGTAAACATCCTAGCCCCAAGGGGAACTGCCCCTGCATTTAGCCAACATAGTGGTAAACATCCAAAGTTTCAAGGAGTGCTGCCCCTGCATTTTGTCCGCACAGCTGTAAACTAGTTTTAAAAGCTCCAAGGGGAGCTGCCCCTGCATTTTGCAAACATAGCTGTAAACATCCAAAGCTCCAAGGGGAGCTGTCCCTGCATTTTGTCGCGTAGCTGTCAACTAGCTAAAGCTCCAAGGAGAGCTACCCCTGCATTTTGCAAACGTGGCCGTAAACATACCCAGCTCCAAGCCCTTTTTTTTGTTTCTTCCTCGCAAACATAGCTGTAAACATACCACGCACTAAGGGGAGCTGCCCCTGCTTTCTGCAAGCATCGCTGTAAACGATTACATACAAGGCTCGGAGGGGAGTTGCCCCTGCTTTTTGCAAACATAACTGTACCAGGCCCCAAGGGGAGCTGCCCCTGAATCTTGCAAACATAGCTGTGAACATACAAAGCTCAAAGGGGAGCGGCCCCTGCGTTTTGCAAACATAGCCGCAGCGCCGGGCATAACGCCACCCAGGCGAGGCGCGCTGCCCCTGCCTTGACCAATGCCGCCGCAAACAACACGCGCAAAGGGGCGCTGCCCCTGCATTTGCTCGCATAGCCGCCGTATCAGACCGCCGGGTCAGCCGCCATATCAGACCGCTGGGTCAGCCGCCATATCAGACCGCTGGGTCAGCCGCCATATCAGACCGCTGGGTCAGCCGCCATATCAGACCGCTGGGTCAGCCGCCGCCATATCAGACCGCTGGGTCAGCCGCCATATCAGACCGCCGGGTCAGTTGCCATATCGGACCGCTGGGCCAACTGCCATGTCGGGCCGCCGGGTCAACCGCCGCATGGGCTAGGGGCGCTGCCCCTGCCTCTGCCGCCGCCACAAACAGAGCTCAAAAGGGAACCACCCCTGCATTTGCTCGCAACGCCGCCGTATCAGGCCGCCGGGTATTCCGCCGCATGGGCGATTACGTAGGGGAATCGCCCCTGCCTCCGCTAGTACAACTGAATAAGCAGCATGGGCCACTCGCCCTGCCCGCCGGGTGCGCATAATGTGTGAGTGTGTGTGTGTGTGTAACGCACATACGCGTGTCTGCAATATGCCCTGCGTGGTCGTGACGGATTAATCCGTCGCACCTCGGGTAAAGTGTTAATTACTGAAAGTAAAACAAGGTCGCCAGCCCGCCAACACCGGCACGTACTGCCGGCTCGCCGTGGTACCTAAACAACAATGGCAACAGCGACGACAGCCGCAAGGAAAAAGATAGCAGCTTGCCATGTCCAAACAAAGCCCCAAAACAGCAAAGTAGACCCCACATGCTGAGACTTGGTGTAATGCCGCCTAGTACGAGTAGGAAGGGGAGGGGAGCGACAGCACTTAGAGGCGAAGCAGGGCGAGGGATGGAGGAGAGGAGGATAAAGAGAGAGAGAGAGAGTATGTGTGTGTGTGTATGTATGTATGTATGTATGTATGTATGTATGTATGTATGTATGTATGTATGTATGTATGTATGCGTGTGTGTGTGTGTGCGCTTGCGTGCTTACCCATGTGTGCTGAGAGAGATAGACTACACAGCGAATGAAAAAGGAGGCACGCATTGGTTGAGAAGAAGTTCAGCCGGTTTGCTGCCATGATTAGTTGCTCCCGCATAGCATGAGTTCGGGACTAAGCCGAGTCCAGCAGCTGGATTAGGGAGCCGATGAGAGGAAATGGACTAATCGTCCGCGTGAAAGAGCGTCTGCAGCGGAGTTGTCCGTGACCGTAATATGGGTAGTCAGCGAGATAAAGCCTTGTGTTCTGCTACCATGCGGGGGCTGAAGTGGGCTAGTTCCGTCACGGTTGGATTTCGGCAAGTCCCGGATTTCAGACTGCTCCAACTGCCTTTTTGTCGCCGTGCAGTATGAATTTCTTGTCGGACTACTTAGGGCCCCAGAGGGCGTAAGCTCGTGTTGCAAAGCGCGATGGTTCTGAAAGTCTGCCAGGCCTCGACCCAGTAGATTAGAGATTCAGTTTTTCTCTTGCCAGAAGAGGAGCCGCCAATGACAATTCCATTCAGTGATTGCCATCGGATTGATCGATTCTAACACGTTTGGCTGCTGGCTGCGTGTGGGCAGGACAGGAAGGAAGCATTGTGGCCAGCTCGAAGTATTCCGCACGCCGTATTGTCCTAATCGTCTCCTGTGCGCCAACACATGCGCCGGCCGGCATCATAGCGCCTCCAAGGAACTCAACTAAACTGGTCATACACGACAGTGTCCATGCCTGCATTTTCGGCCGGCATGCTCATCGCCCGAGGCTTGTTGGTCAGGGCCGACGCTGCCGTCGCCGCGGTCTCAAACGAGGAATACCAGCGATCCGCTGCTGAGTAGGATCCATGCTCAGGTACGGGTATAAACCATGTAAACCAACTAGCTTTAGAGCAAACGAGAGCAAAAAAATTCTGGCCTTCTGCAAGCAATAGCAAGTAATGAGTGACGGCTGTGTAAAGTCGCACAACCATGCAGTCGACCGGATGATGGTGAGTGTCCGGCACACATCTTGCTCTGCTGCTCCACCTGCGCATACCTGATACGGTGGTGCGCTTACGGGCGGGCTGCCTGGGCCCCAGATGCCTCCTTGATGCGCCACGGAGTGCCGTCGAAGCACCTGTATCACTTCGGTGATCCAAATGCGAATGCAGCCTTGCCGGTCGCCCGCCGGCCTGCCGCCTACGCGACCAGCCTGAGACTGGCCCTGCCGCATTTGGCGCTTCTAAACGCTGCGATCCGGTAGACAGCTCACTGGGCTGCCAAATACGTGACTGGCTTGAGGACAGTTCCATACTGGGCAGGGCGCCCAGCTCAGGTCGCACGCCGTAGCGGCGTGAGCTGGGCGCGGTGAGGGTTGGTGATAACTACAGTTTCCTCCTTCCTCCTCCGGAAACTTCCATAACAGGTATATGCAGTACCATGCTTGTACTGCAAATATCAATGTACATGTATATCGTGCAGAGCTGAGCCAGCCACCCTCGGTCCCAGGCCCCCATTACAGGTAACAGCAGCTATTCATTGAAGAAAGTGACTGCAGATTGTCCAATTCTTGGTTGTGTTGCGAATGCGATGGAGTGCTTGTGGGGACATTTGTGAGGGCTTTATCTAGATGTGTACGCGATCTGCACAGTGTGTTCGCTGATATCCCTTACCAAAGCAATTTAAGTCCGTGATGCACTCAAAAATCCCCTCGTGTGATTGGCTCATCATCATAACAGATGTTTATATTGGCTGCATACTCAATCTGCGGACAGAACTGTTCCGTCCTTCGTGAACTCATCAGCGCAGCACAGAGAACATGAGGCCGAAGCTGATAGCAATGAAAAATAAATTTTCCAAAGCCATATTTAATTTAAACCAGGCCCGAACGTACCTTGCCAGATTGGCTGCATTAGATGGCTATACACTGAGCGATGAAATTCATGCACATGTAAATGATAAAATGATTGGAAGTGAGTGTCTCCGGTTACACCAGTGAAAGCAGCTGCTAAACTTGCCACTAGACGTTTTCCAGTAGACACCAACTTTCGATCGGCTAGTAGACTACTGCGCGACACTCCACATCTTAACAACATGGTTGAACGCACGACAGAAGTAAGGCGTTCGACAAGTCACTGAGTGATCTCACCTGCTGGTTTTCTGTACTTGTCGATGAGGTCCAGCTTCTCCAGGATCTTCCTTACACTGGACATGCATGCGCTTTGCGAACACTCTCCAGGAAGTCATGGAACGACTCATCGTCTCCTGTTCGGCTAGGCCTCGGCGGGTAATGCTAGCATTGTAACTGGCATTACGAGCATCGTTTTGAGAACTAGCAATGCTCCAGCATTGTACCCGGATTTGGAGCCAAAACAAGCATTAGCGCCCAAAAGTTTCATTTTCTCACTTCATGAGTGTGCATTACTGAATAAAACAGGAGCTCTACAATGTAACGTACACACTGTACTTTGTACCAGCGGCTTTTGGCAGTTTTGCTTAAACGTTAGCCTGCGACTTCGCAACATGCATCTCTTGTTGCGAATCTTAGTGGCAGCTGCTAGGTATAGACGTACCACGTGTCGTTGATGCCATCATGGGAAACGGAAAGAAACCTTGTCTTTCCTATTCACAGAGTCATGCAGTGCTGGCTTGCTTGCACCATGAGTACATCAAATGGAAATGTGTTGGAAGTCTCTGATTCTTCGGAGGAAGAGAGTGAGGAAGATGAGTACGAGACAGAGGAGGACAATAAGGAAGACGAGAACGAGGCAGAGGTGGAGGATGAGCCCGGTGAGGCATGCGCACGACTGCCCAAAGCCAAAGGAGCAAGCATATCTAGGGTTAGTAACATTCCTACTATTGTAAAAGTGTGTTCACTGGGTGCTATGCCCCATTGTGTTGCTAATGGATTGCTGCAATGAATCACCAAGTCTTGCTGTCTGGACTGATCACCTATACTCATGCACTAGTTGCCCACTGTGCTGATTGACTCATTCCCCGAAGTGATACGTTGACTTATATTGTACTTTTTCATACCACACATTATACTAAATTTCCAAAATAGCATTCCGTATGCACCCTCAAAGTACTTTGAAGGCTGTCGACGTAGGGTTCTGATTTACTGTTATTCACTGCTAGTTCATGATAGCAACTTCAGTTCCACATCATTTTGAAATAGCATCACCATAATTATAATCTACTTTCAAAGTACTAGATACTTCCAATAGCAGTATTCCGTGCAGTGTGACTTACATTATGTTACAATGCCATATGAGTGGTTCACATTGCCTTTTCAACTAGCATTACAAGTCCAAATTAGCATTCTAACGAGCATTATAATTATGACCGAGTAACTAGCAATGCTAAAAGCATTTTGAGCTGAAAAAAAACTAGCATTACCCGCCGAGGCCTATTCGTACCGCATCCAACAGGGCCTCGTTTTGCTTAGCCGGACCTGTGTAAGCTTCAAACTTAATCTTTTGGTTTTTTGTAATCAGTTGTCTACTCTCGCACTCAGTTCGTAAATTATCCGCTGTGAAAGTACTGATCATTTCAGGGAGAAGTCTGATGAAAACTGGACTCTCCCACGACATCTTCAATGACCTTCACAGCACCGACAGTCTTCACTAAATTGCAGCAAACAGAAACCGAGCATGAGAACAGAAAGCCATCAATGCATAATTTCAATCTTTGAATCCATAGCGCAGAAGGATACGTTCGTAAGACGTATTTCGTCATCAACTGTGGCCGTCCATCATTGCCATACCATGGAAGCCAACGGGAAAGCATCGACGGTTTGCGCGGTCGCCAAATCAATAGTTGCATTGGGCGCATTCAACTACAATAATGTGATAATGTGAAAGTCAGAATAGTCCAGTGTCTGCTCCAGAGCTGGGTCAGCGACCCGGTGGGGGTACGTGGACCCATTTGGCAAAAGAATACCGGGTCACTTGTGACCCGGTAGGGAATAAATTTGCTACAATGTAGCAAATTTATTCCCTACCGGGTCACAAGTGACCCGGTATTCTTTTGCCAAATGGGGTCATATACATGTACTTTGTACATCACGGTGTCCTAATATATTTACGTTTCTCTGCTGCACATACAGTAGGCTAGCGGCGCTTGAATGTACCCGGCTCTGACCCTGTTGGAAGATTTGTGCCAGGCACGCATGTACTCGGTTGGTTTGAAATCCTAGAGCAAACGCTGAATCCTATGTCCAACTCTACTGCTTCAGAAGGATATGTAAGGTTGCACGATGCGTAGCTAAAATTGATGCGAATTTCCACTGATAAGTGTCACCAGAAATCCCTTTGGAAACTAATGCCAAATTTGAATTCTAGGCCAAGACATGAAGGCAATAATCGAGAGCCCAACACACCCAATCCACAACCAACAGACATGGATTCGTTTTTACAGAAACGTTTTTTTCTAGAAATTATCATTCTTCTAATCTGGTAGACGAGTAAAGAGAATAATATTATTCCCACTAGCTATGCAGAAGACGTCACTTCAGTAACGTCTGGCGCTAGCCAGGGTCCACACAGCTTTAATTCCGTGTTTGTTTGTTTGTTTGTGTCACGCCTGGCGCTATCCTGTATCTACCCCGCACCGTACCATCAAGACCGTAGAGGCCTGGCATATACATGTATGCAAGAGTACATAACCCCCAGGAGTACATAACCCCCAGGGATTATGTACTCCTGGGGGTTATGTACTCTTGATGTACATTGTATGTATGCGAAGTGTATCGGGGGAATGCATGCAGGGCGATAGTGCAGTAACGTATGGCGCTAGCCAGCGTCCATAAAAACTTCCTCCGTTAACAAAAACTTCGTGATGGATTTTGATGGATAAGAAAACGCTTAGAACAACTTTCCTTAGCCACGAGACTCACGTCGGACTGCAGACTTCTCAAAGAATGCATAGTCAATCAGCAATCGAATCTGAGCTTTGCGCAGGTTGAACAAGAACCTGAATTCAGAATTATTTGATTGTGCCGTGCTATCGCAGCAGCTGCTTGTTTCTTTCGCTCAGGGTCCTACGCTATGCTTTGTTGCCTAGCTCATTATGCATGTTATTCGAACAGATGGAAACTTTTTGCAATACAATGATGTAGCCGATCAGTTCGTTGTGGTATGGTTGGCATTGTAGCCGTCATGGTCGACGTAAAACACTATAAGACCGCAACGACGTCGGGGCCAAAGAGAAAGCTCCATCAGTTCTAATAACATGCATGATGAGCTAGGCAAAAAAGCATAGCGTAGAGCCCTGAGCTTCCAAGCTCTCTCGTTAGCAGCTACAAGTGTTTTTTTTTCCGTTGTTGTGACTGTACACGATTTAGTAGGCTCTCTTGAGCCCACTCATGATTACAAGATTTCTTTTCAATGCCCATCGTTTCCAGCGGAGTGTAACACACCCACATTCAGCTTTCGTTGATGTGCACGGTACACTTGCCCCCCCCTCCGCAAGAGCTTTTGGCAAGCGAGCGTTTACTTGCAGCTCAGGTCAGTGCCGAAATTTTTGCGAATGCTTGCTCTCCGTCTCCCTTCGATTTCTAGCGGGACATGGGAATCCAGTGCGATACTACACCGTCACAGGACGTACGTCATGACGATGTACATAATTGCATTGTCCACCGTGATCAGGATTTTAAAATTGCGACCAGTATGGCTGCATGGACTGTGTCTGGGTCTTGGGGTTTGACACATGGGGATGTTAGGGGGCGTTCGAATTGTCTTCCTACTGTTCGAGCAATTGTTTTGAAGAGGTTAGTTGATGTGTCCCATTAGAACGGTTTCTATCATTTTTAGAGTTGTTCAGTGGAATTGTCATGGCGATGATGACGTCCGATCAGATCGACCATCTCCACGTACTACGTGACGTAGCTATTCCAAACTCTTCGGAACTAATCCATTAATTTTCTCCCATCGGATGAGCTTGTGGAGTTTTGAGGAGTTTCGAGGAGTGTCGTTTTTCTGAAGAGGCCAATAAGGCCACCTCTTCAGAAAAACGAAACTCCTCGAAAAGTCAAAGAGTGACAATTCGAACGCGCCCTTGGTTGTCTTACAGGGGTGTGAGCCCACCTCTAGCCTGGGCACCGGGAGAAAAGCTAGCTAGCTCAATCGACTAAACTGTTGAGTGACGATGACCCATACCTTGATTTGGTGAGCTGTGCCATGTTTTTTTGCAGGCAGATGTGCGACCGCTAGGGGGGGGGGGGGGGGACTTCTCGGTTCGCAGTCAAGTGCGGTACTGGAGTCTTCTACACCATTCTCGCGGAGTATGACTATGACAGTATGAGCTGCCTGATAACAACGCGTATCCGCTAGTACTACATACTACAAGTAGGACCGCTACCCTCAGATTGTCCCGAGATGCCAATGCATAATGTGAAAATTAATGCTCTCTGCGATCCACTTCGGACATGCATGCAAACACGGCCTGATACTTTGAAAGCAGGCAGGTAACCTGGGAGGTATCCATGGTTCCCATGAACGCCATACGTCGGCTCAAAAGCTTGCCAAGCAAAGAACACACAAAGAACACAGTATAGACTGTCAGGTCAGGACACTCTGGTCGAATGAGCTTAGGCCGTAAAAATACACCACGACTCGCGGCTCGCGTTTACACTACTGTCTAGCTCAAGTTTGATCAGATTCTGACGGTTTCGGGTCACGTGATCCGAACGCGAGCCGTGCTGTGAGCAAATCCAGACTTGGGCTTTCGAGGGCAGGTCAGCGTTTTCCCCCGATCCGAGCTCTGCCGTGAGACGGAGCACGTGATGTGAGACGCGAGGCACGTGCCGTAGTGTAATAACGGCCTTAAATGTGCCCCACCACCACACTCCATTACTCACCCCAGTGGCTGGAGATATGTGGATTTTGCGGAGAAAAAAAAACACAGTATGTCGGCAACTACCAATAAAAATTATTACTACGACCTAAAAGACAATGCTTTAGTGAAGAATGCCTGCTATCGTCATGAAAGCAGAAAGCATCAGAAAAATAGCAAATTGACATGAAAATATAAAGACGAGGATGAGCAAATCTGCCTGCAGATAAGATGAAAAATGGGGGGGGGGGGAGGGGGGGTAGCACATCCACGTTCCAACGTGTCATGATCTTAAAACTGAAAGCGGAGCTCAACACAGCTAGGGAAATACATTCACTAGCACACCCATATCCACACTCCAAACGCGCGTACGCACACACACACACACACACACACACACACACACACACACACACACACACACACACATACACACACACACACACACACACACACACACACACACACACACACAACCAAAGAAAAAGTAAAATCTCTAAGAGGGACATGGGAGAATTTCAAATGTCTAAGGATTAAATTATGGTTGTAGAGCATAATAATGCTCAGTTGAGTCTGCCACTCTCAAACAGCGGAAGGAGACGACCTGAAAGAGGAAAGGTTCATCGAATAAAGTCTGCATCATTATCACGGCAAAGAGTCAAAGAATCAAGTGTGCTTGTGCACAACGTTATTTCGGCCTGTCAATTGGTTTGCGGTGCGACTCAGACGAATGCAGTGACTAACGTCATTGCCATGGCAACTGCAGAATCACAGTTTCAAGTACAGCGTATTGGTGACTGACTGTGAGGTTGTGATAACAGCCAGTCTTGGACAACAAAAAAAAAAGAAAAACAAAAAAACAAATGAAGTCATCACGGAATTGCGAAACGGCTCCTCCATGGGCATGGGGAAAGATGGCCATAACTACAGGTAGATGGACAAATCACGGGGATAGCAAGAATGCCGTGACCGCAATTGCAGCAGCTGATTGAATGATTTTTAAATATTCGGCCAGTCGGTAGTCGTGCTCACTGTTCAGCCTCCCTGCAGAGAAGATCAAAACAAAACAAAAAACAATAGAAAACAACAGAAAGGCTCAATAATGATTCATAAGATTCTGACGTTCTAGCCTTGAGTAATGAAAGGTCGCATGAAACGTTTGCCAACGTTTTCCCAAGAAGGTGCTCAGCTGCATTAGCTATATCCGTAGTCATTACAGAATGCGAGCATGATTGTGCAGCTGTGCTGCTACCACCTGCCAATTGGGTAAATGTGACCAGGCACAAGGAGCACAATATGGATTGTGCCAGTCATTGTGAGATGTGATGTGATGTATCCTTCTCAGCCTGGCCCACGGTTACGTACGCACCGCCTGATCTACTGGATTATTTCCGGTGGTACACGTAGTGGGTGCTGTGAGCTGTGAGCTCCTCCAGGAACGGAGACGACATTTAACTCTCTTTGTTTCGATCACGGTACAGTACTGAGAGAGAGAGTGAGGTGTGGTGCCTGATGGCTGCCACTGACGTATGCATGAGTGCTGAAACCTATTTCTCGTGCTCGAGACCTTTTTCGTATATTAGAAGTACCCACTACTGGCATGATTACACACATTCACTCAGTGCATGTTCAAAGGAGATTTAAAGTGACTGCTTCACATTCATTAGTAGAGTGGAGAGAGAGAGAGAGAGAGAGAGAGAGAGAGAGAGAGAGAGAGAGAGAGAGAGAGAGAGAGAGAGAGAGAGAGAGAGAGAGAGAGAGAGAGAGAGAGAGAGACAGAGACAGAGACAGAGAGACAGAGACAGAGAGAGAGACAGAGAGAGAGAGAGACAGAGAGAGAGAGAGAGAGAGAGAGAGAGAGAGAGAGAGAGAGAGAGAGAGAGAGAGAGAGAGAGAGAGAGAGAGAGAGACAAAGAGACAAAGAGAGAGACAGAGAGAGACAGAGACAGAGACAGAGACAGAGACAGAGACAGAGACAGAGACAGAGACAGAGACAGAGACAGAGACAGAGACAGAGACAGAGACAGAGACAGAGATAGAGACAGAGACAGGAGAGAGAGAGAGAGAGAGAGAGAGAGAGAGAGAGAGAGAGAGAGAGAGAGGAGAGAGAGAGAGAGAGAGAGAGAGAGAGAGAGAGAGAGAGAGAGAGAGAGAGAGAGAGCGAAGGTCTGAAGCAACCATTGTCAGTAACCACCTGGACTCGAACCAGGGACCTTCACTATAGGTCAGCAAGGCTCTACCACTATGTTATGATGCTATGGTGCTGGCGTCATCCCAGCAGAGATCTTCTACTTCAGGCTTTGAAACTCGTGCTCCTTGTGGACATAATGAGGCGGTGGGGATGCAGAGATACGCACCGGCCAACACCACTGATTACCACTGGAAAGTAACAGTAGAACTCCCCAGATTCGGGCAGGTCAGGACCAAGGCCTGCATGTAACTAGGAATTGCCCGTAGCTCTGAATATACACACTTACTGTACGCAAGACATTAGTACACATTTTCTTATGCCAATCAAATTTTGGAGCCGTATTTACAGTGACACTTGTCTAAGACGACGGCTGCTGATAGGACCTTCAAAAGGTGGTCTCTGTAACCAGGTGGTCTCCTTATGTCAAGGGCATGACGCTGGAGATAGCAACCCCTCGTCCTGGTCTCAGTGGTCGTCTAGGACAGGTGGTCACCTTATCCGAGTGGTGGCCTTGACAGGTTTTAGTGTAGTTGAAAGCCTATTTTGTGACTCTACATGGATCAGGAAGGTGTCCGGTAAACGGACATGCCCAGATTAGGGGTGTCCGGATCTGGGGAGTTTGAGTGTGCAGGAAAAGTCAAACTTGTTTGCTGCATGGCGTGCATTTCCTATTTGTAGAGAGGCCTGTACGGAGAAAGAACGGTTTCGGAAATCTCACCAATAAGCGTCAGTATCCCAGAAATTTCCAGATCCTGTCCGCCAAGAGAAACACGATCACAACGATGATGATGCTCTGAAACCTGCACAGGAAGTTCCACGTTTCAGAAGCGATCTGTCTTACTGACTGCCTCCCTGAGATACATAGAGAGAGGGGGGCACATGTACAAGCAAACAAAGATACCGAGACAGATAAGAATACAGAGAATTCATGTCAATCTCTGCATCATCCCCAGCCTTTGTGTGTCAAATCAGGGAACTTGCACATAGACTATGGTGAGTGCAACTGAGACATTCCACACACAGAACTGACTGTATGCTGAGAGATGGTGATCATTGCTCGTGCTACCCAGGCAGACCGGCAGAGAGCAAAACCAAGCTAGCTGTTACGTGGTGGTGAACATCAATAGACACCCTTAGCAAAAAAAACGTGTTGTAACGGTGTTACCGTAAGGGGAAAGTTATCGTGATTTGGTTTCGACCTTTAGCAAGATAGACGCTATTTTTAGCACGCTGTTGCCATGAGAATAGCTTTTATTCCGGGCGGTACAATTTTATGGCGCAATATAAGCGATCCAAAGTGAAATACGTATGCACTATGGAATAAAAAGTTAAAAAGAGTAAAATATCGTATCCGTTCCCGAAGGGAACTCACGACGGCCGCTAACACCCGGCAAACCCTAGCGGCAGATGCAGCGCCTAACGGTGGAGGTGAGTGGATAAGTCTCACAACCACTGGCACAAGTGCCGGGAACGACCCCATTAGCTGCATCCATGTACCTTTTGTGCCTGGCCAAAGTTCCCAGTTGACTGTGGGTAGCAGCACGGCTGGAAAAACGCTCCCAGGCAGGACTTGAACCAGGTACCTCTCGTATCTCAATCATGGTCTTAGACCAACCCACTGTGCCTGCCTGGTTATATGGAATATTTGGCCCAAAAACGTACCGTTTGTCACAACGATAAATCAGCCTCCATAACGTTTTTACGTTGCAACTTCAACGCTATATAGGTGATCAAGGTACAAGTACCATAAAAATAGCATAGTTTGCTAAGGGTGTCTAATATCAATTTCATGCGCCGTTGACCGAAGCAGAGAATTACAAAACAGCACATGGAAAAACGCATATTCATGCCTTGCTGCACTGTATGAGTAAACAGGTGATCACTGGAGGTAATTGTAGCTGGTATGCGCACATGTATCTGTTAGTTACACAAACTGTATGCTCTTTCAACCTTGCAATTCCTGACCTGTAAGACGCGGTCCAGAGGAAAAATCCACTTCAGGAGAATCTGTGGCTGCACCGGACGTATCAGGGCTCACTCCAGCGGAAGAAGAAGACATGGCAGACGTAGATGCAGGCACGGACACAATGGGAGGCTGTGCTCGGTGCGGGTATTCTGCTAGCAGAGCTACTGCACTCGAATCAGACACCAATGAAGCTGGGTTTGAGACCGCCGCTGCAACAGGATCCGATGCCACTGCATGGGTCAGTGACGTAGTGGGTGGCAACTCCACACTTGGAGATGGCCGAGAGGCATTGTCAACCGTTCCTCGACCTGTTGATAAGGCATGTATAGTGTACAGGAACGAATAGCAAAGAACAATAGATAACAGGTATTAACAATAGATAACAGGTATTAATAATAGACAACTCTTGGATTCCCCTTAGGGACAATCCAGGGTTGACGATTGCTTTCAAAATGAAACATTTCAGTATCTTCAGCATCCATCCACCCACCCGACCACTCTTTCTGCTGGTAAAACAAATTCCAACCATAATTATATTGACTTGAGAGAGAGAGAGAGAGAGAGAGAGAGAGAGAGAGAGAGAGAGAGAGAGAGAGAGAGAGAGAGAGAGAGAGAGAGAGAGAGAGAGAGAGAGAGAGAGAGAGAGAGAGAGAGAGAGAGAGAGAGAGAGAGAGAGAGAGAGAGAGAGAGAGAGAGAGAGAAGAGAGAGAGAGAGAGAGAGAGCAGGGTATATTCTAGGACGAATTTCCAACTGGTTATGGTCCAATGAAGAGTTGGGGGGTCCGGGGGTCCCCCCGAAATTTTTTTCAAAATACAACCCAAATATGGCACTCGACAGCAATTTAACAGATTTCTTGGTGCTGGTGTGTAGCAAAGATATAAGCAGCTCCATTCACCCACAGAAAAGTACGGGCGGTTGCAACTGATTTGTAACTTTTCAACCGGTCGCCAACAATTTCAACCGGTCGAAAACCGGTTT